ATCTCTCAAACGCTGCTGACCTGAAGAAGTCCAAGTGGGAATGCCTTATATTCCTCCTTATAGTCAGAGTTAGTAACTTCGATGATAATATACCATATTGCTGCAGGTCACATATACTGTGGACATACGAGCAATGGATGATACTGGACGCGAGGCTGTCATTTACGAATTATCTAGGCGCATGTATCAGATATGTGACAAGCGTTCTGTTTCCTGTAACATCGAACGCAAGGTATGGGCCATCATTTGTTTGTTGAATAGCATTCCCTTGGATTTGACGTATGGAAGAGTTATAAACCTTCCGTATCTTGTTTTGAACCTATTATTAGAATGACAAAGATTTAACTGCCTTATTTTTTGGACTGACACCAAATGGAAAAACCACTCAACACTGGTGGTGGTTGAACTAATAAACACATAGTTATGCAGACTTTGATATCATGTTAGATTATTTAAACATACAAGCTGAAACTCTTAAGTGAAAACCTTGCTATAACGTTTAAGGAAGTATGGTCAATGACTTTCTTTGCTGTTGACCTCAGCATGATGCAGGTGCTGTGGCTTGTGATTCTGAACTGAGTTCACAGCTTAAGTCTGCGGCCTACTCAACACTCAAGAGAATGGAGGGCGACATTCAAGGTGAAGTGCCAGTCCTAATGAGTGGAGCCGGGCATGATGCAATGGCCATGTCTCATTTAACCAAGGTTACATTTCTCTTCTCTGTTTGCTAGTTGATATGTAATTTCCCCAGCAGGATGTGACAATGAGTAAGAATTTGAACAGGTGGGAATGCTCTTTGTGCGTTGTCGTGGAGGCATAAGTCACTCACCAGAGGAACATGTGCTGGACAGTGACGTCTGGGCAGCCAGTTTAGCAATCTTGTCATTTCTTGAAACCTTATAATAAATTGTAAATAATAATAATGTAGCTTTAAGGTGTAATTATTGGTTAATCCATTGAATTTACATTCAAGACGATACTGTTTCTGTAGTAGCTTCTGTGTCCTTGTGTAAATGAGTTGAGTTATTATGCCATGCCTAATGAGCCCCAAATTTGCCACTTCTTTGGAGATAAAAGGAAAGGGGAGCAGGTTGAGTGAAAATCTCACAAATGTATATAATTTAGCATATTGCTTATCGCACTAATGGACCTTACACATTGTTCTGATAATGACACCAGAATATCCTGATTACATCTAATACATTAAGCTTAAACTCAGAAAGACTGAATGATTGAAGACTACAAGACATTACAAGAAGGATCAAGAGAATGAGAATTCAATTCCCTTATACCAAAGGAAGCTCGAGCGCGTCATTTTAGAAATGAGAATAACCTTTCTAGGAGTGACGTTGACATTAAGAAATGCTGAATGATCAAATGAGTCTGAGTCAATGTTTCACATGAAATAAGCAACTGACGGCCCTTCTCTAAGTGATGCGTTACTTCACACTGATTAAAGATGAACTTAAAAAGAGTTCTTCATATGGTCTCAAGGAAATGAGCAAAGCTAGAGTACTTTGGCTCCCACCCTATTTCCTTGCGAGTTTTGGAGTTGTTCAATCTCTTACCAAGAGGATCATTAGTTCCTGAAATGGCAAGGTAAACATCAATCAGAATGAAAATTTATGCATAAAGAAAGAAAAGCACTTAAAAAGTTACTGATTTGAAGTGATTGTTGCAGAAATCTTCTACAAAATTCCCCTGTGAGGAAGAAATTTTAAGGAACCAAAAATGAGTTATGGAAAATATTGATGTGTTATACTTTTATTCCAGAAAGTGGTGACAATCACATGAAGAACATCGCCGAGAAAATAATGGCAGCAAACTTGAGGTATAAATTTCACAAGAAGAAACGGACTGACCAGTGAATTTATCAAATTTTTTACTGAACTTCCCACTTCTATTAATTAGGTCCATCATTTCTTGCCTGCAAACATAAAGAATACCGGGTAGAACGAGAGTTTAAATAGAAAATGCAGCCAGAGATATGAGAGAAATCAGAATGGGATTTGCAAGATTACAGAGATGGCATATAACCTAGATAAAGGATGATTATCACAACCCAAGAAAATCTTTCCTCGAATTTTTTTCTTCAGGATTGCAACTGCAAGGGAAGCAGCATCCTGGGGTGGAAATGGAAGTGTGTCAGAATGAGCATCCTCTTCATCAAAATAACCATTACTGAATGGCTACAGATATGTGAACCATTTGCTGAAGAAAATATTAAAGCAACTTCATGGCATGAAATACAGATATGAAAAAGAATTGGGAACACCAGATCATTGTTCATAAAATACAGAAAAGTAGCTAGAGATGAAAGAAACTCTGACCTCATAATGTATGAGATTCAGGATGTGATCAGGACGACTATCTACAATGCCCTTTTCTAACCAGTAATTGTGTGCACCTCTATCTGCTTTGTGTAATATGTCAAGGTTGGGGAGAGACACAAATAAAAAATCAATAACAAATCAGATTAAAGAGTTCTTGTAATGCTAATATCTTGAATTCCAGAAAGGATATATAAAGCCCTGCCAATCTCAGAACGCAACCACCAGACTCCAGCACCACATTTTCAGCATTTAGAAGAATATCTGTTCTGGGGCTCCTCCCAATCGGCACGGCTGGAGTATCCTACAAGGAGGGTATATAAAATCCTATGTGAAGGACTGTCAACAAACGTTCAAGTATATTTGCGCAAATCAAAGCGGTCAAAATAACATTGTTTTGAAAGAGAAGCCAATTTCTTAAAGTAACCAAGCATAATTCCCTTGATTCAAAAGGGAAAGAAAGAAAGGAAGGGTGATAGCTGGCCCAAAAAACTGATATTTCGATATGTCACCTACCTCATCACATGGTCCATTATCGTTACGATCATATGGAGCAGAACTTGATGTAAAAAGGAAGGAACCTTCACCACTCCAGCTTAATGCAGCTTGCCTGATTGATCAACAATCAATATCAATGTTTGGGTTCATAATATGATAGTCACAACACTAAGGCACATTTTCCTTTTCCTAGTAATTGTCATTTTATTTCAGGCTGGTGATAACCAAGTTGTAATGAAGAAGAAAGTTGATCTGGACAACAATAGTCCATGTATATATAAACTAACATCAAAACTATACATCAACGCGAGTGTCATTTTATTTCAGGCTGGTGATAACCAAGTTGTAATGAAGAAGAAAGTTGATCTGGACAACAATAGTCCATGTATAGATAAACTAACATCAAAACTATACATCAACGCGAGCACAACTTCCTTTAGCTATAGTCTCATAGTAGACTGTTTACAAAGTGAAGCAGAATACTTAAGTTCTAACCCATAAAAGAGAAAAGTTCCCAAACAGAACAAGATAACCCACTTCAAGCCTTAAGCTTGCTGGAACAGTTAACATTTCAACACATAATTGTGACAAAATCATAACACTTCCATCAAATCATGGAATGGCTTCTGCTTCTCACCTGATGTTTCCAGAATAGTCAGAGGTCCGGGAAGGTGGAGCACAATAAATAACATAAGGAAACTTGTGAGTAGATTCCGTCCATTTCAGAGACGGATTGATACACATTTGAATCAATTCATCATGATGATCGGCGGTCCTTGTCTGCCCATAAACCTGGCAACCTGGAGTTTCCTGCGTGCGTGCACATATGTTAAGAGTGCCAAAAAATTTCACGGTAACACTTCACCTCACCATAAATCTGAAGAAAGGGCTCGTAAACAAAGAAGTGCTAATACTGATACGAAAACAGACATGATACAATATGAATAGGGCAAACATGACAAACATGTAGAATGCAAGAGCAATATATGTAAAATTAAAGTAGAATAACAAATACTGTTACTTTACTATTTATCGACTAAGCTGTTTATTTGTTTTTCAGAATTCCCATCTAAAATTGAAGCTAGTTTAAATTGAAAATGGGGTCTAAGTGCGCTTTGAGTCTCTGACACCACAGTACTATGTTTTTTACGTGCGCTTCATAGATCATAAATCATAGTCATAACTTCATGTTTCAGTCACATCTATGCTCTCACGCTCTTGTTATCATCACATTATCTTAAAGCACAAAGAAATATCTGCATGCAGGAATCATAAGTGACAAACACTACAGAAATATGAAACTGTAGCACAGTACCTCCCGCCATTTCTCTGCTACCAAACGACCCAGAACTCCAGGACCCACAATCAATAGGTCATGTTGGCCAATTGTTTTAGGAGATGAAGGCTCCGATTCTTCTATGGGAGCATCTTCTGATACCTGCAAAGGGGTCGCCCTTGGCAACAATGTTGCTGACTTTAATCTGATTCCCGAATCGGAACTCGTGGAGGTAGAGAAGAGCAAATTTGGGGATTTAGACAAGGGGCAACAGACAATGTTAGAAAGTTTAGAGAAATGTCGAGAAGGATTTTGAGGTTTGAAAACAGCGATGGTAGTGAAACACGAAGTGCTTCCCATCATAAAGATTTGATTTTTTGAAGAAAACTCTTTTTGAGCTTTGTTGACTGAAGTGCTGAGAATATTTCTGTGGAATTACTTGACAAAATTTCTACAGAACCAATCAGTTCACAAAGCGTAAGCCAGTAGGAAGATACGGCAAAATTGACAAAACAAATGATTGTTAGAAAAATATAGTATTATGAAAATTACAAGGAATTACTCGTCCAATTTTTAATATAAAACTCATTTAATTAATTTGGTTAAATTAAAAAATTAAATAAGTTAATTAATTATAAAAGTGATATATTTTTCTTAAAACACCATAATCATTTTTTTTAATATCCGCACTTCGTCTTCTACTTAATTATAGTTAGGGAGTATATATAAAGGTAATTTAAAAAAAATTGATAAATATGAGAAATGTGCCTTATATTTAAAATCAAAACTAACTCAAGAATTGAGTCTTATATTAAGGATCGAAAAGTATAATATAATTATAATAATCACAGCATAATTAATGGAAAAAAAAAAAAGGTGACAAGGAGTTCCAGTGGTCTTGATCTTGACCCGACTTGAAAATAGACCCAGAAGCCAAGGCTAGTTTTTTCGGAGCCATTTTCGTCTGTTAATCACTTGCAAAATAGTCAAGAAAAAAAAAATGCAATTGATTGGTTTATTTTATTGGTTTTTAAAGTTTGGACCGGTGGTTTTTGATTGAAAATGCGACGCATATGAGCCGGGGTTGGCAGCTTGGCGCCCATGGAGGAGAGGACACATACTTTGCAAAATCCAGTTCTTCAAGCTAATCGAAGGCCATATAAATATCTCAGCTTCAGGAATGTTGTCACAAACACCAATATGGAGGGCGATTCCACGTATGAGAGGTAGGTTGAGAGCATAAAATTGAAGCCACTCTACTTTAGAGGAAGAACCTTCACAAAGATTCACCAGAGATGCTATTCTTTATGCCGTTCCAAATTTATGGACCGCTTTTTTCTTGCGCATTAAGTGTTCGAAGAAATTTCCGTTCCGCCTGAACCGTTTTTAATGGGGAATGTTGAAGTTTCACTTTCTAGCACTGTTATTTCATCTGCATGCAAGGAAAATATACTTCTTTGATCGCTAGGAATACGTTTGTGAAACCAGTGTCTCATGTGAATTTTTCATGTGCTGACATGAGGTGACTGTCAATTTATGTTTGAACTTTGATCCAGTAACATCATGGAGGATGAGAACAAATCAGAATTTAGAAGTTTTCTCAAAATCCTTCCCCCTGTAGAGTTTGCCTGCGTCTATGGCTCATCTCTTCATCCAAACAACCAAGCCAAGGTTTCGTTTCTGGCTTGAACTCGCAAGTTTTCTTCATTATTTCCTATCAAATCTTTTCTTCGAATTATTCGCTTTCAATTTTGAAGATATTGGTTTTCTAGTCAACCATGACAGACTACATTCTTGGCGTATCAGATCCCTACCGGTGGCATTCCGAGGTAATATATGATATGATGTCTTGTGCACTTATACTAGTGTTACGTATGCCTTATGGAGTTAGTTTTTTTCTCTGTGCTTCCTTTTCCTCCACTGTGCAACGGCACCGCATAGAACCTGAAATTGAACAGAAATCACTATGCATCGTGGATGGTGCACCTTGGCGGGGCAAGACTGGTATTTCCCTCTTTCTGTTCATGTATAGTTGAACTGATTTATGCTAACCACTTATTCTGATGCTAAATCTTGATAACATATGTAAGGTTACCGAAGTTGCGGATAAAATTGGCGTTGGCGTGCATTTCAACCCTTTTGTTAGTTGGAACAGAAAGGTACTCCTAGCTTGAAAACTCAATTATGTGAACAAGTGTTGGTAAAAAAAGAAAAAAAAATGTTAACGAACTAAATACTCATAATCACATCACATATTTAATAGCTCACAATTGTCAGTTTTATATGTTGTCATCTTTTTAGACTGTCCATCATGTGAATATTTATTTTCTTTAGTTTTGCTGAGTCATGATAAATGTCATCTGTTCCCTAATTTATCAACAAATTTACACAGATGTTCAAATACGGGGTTGTTCGAATTGATGACTTACTTCAAGATGTACTGTGTTGGGAGAGGTTTTACTTGAGCGGTCGTTTGCAAAAACCAGTATGTTTATTTTGCTTCTTTACCCTTATCTTCCATTTTACAATTGTTTGACTTGGGGTTCCTACTTTTGGAAGTGCCGATATGCAACTGCAGATGTCTAATCAATAGATGGATAGTTGTTTCCGATTTGAAAGGTAAGATGCTGGTGAAGATAAATAAATAAGTAATGAACGGTGCTAGCTGGCTGAATTCTTCTTTTTGGTGCCCTAAAAGACTTGTTTATTTGAAATCTGTCTCTATTGTTCAACAGAAAAATTGTAGCATTAGTTTTAGCATTATTTTCATTGTCTTCTCAAATTTTTTGATCCAAATATGTGCTATGATAGACTTAATGCCAAAGACAAGGCCTCAACGACTTGTTTCTCTTAAGCGCATAACAGTGATGCTTCCCCCATCCTCCCCCCCCCCCCCAAAAAAAAAAAAAAGTGATGCATATTGCCCGTTACAAAGCTCTAAAAAAAAATCTTTTATTTATACATTTTTTTAACTGACAATCCTTTCTTGAATCGGACTGTATATTTATTACCTTTAGAGGCTTGCTTGGTTAGTCTAATTTAACGGACTGCAGCTTCTGAGAGTATTCATATAAGAGCCTGTTGACATTGTTGTGTTGTATCTTTCTCATTCTTTTTCATGTCCTCTATTTTACTTTAATCCATGACCTAGTTCTTTGGGTGCACTCTATGCAGATTCATATAGTGATAGATAATTTGGACATTGCAAACGTCAATTCTGTTAACCTGAGAGCTGCAATATCAGCTGCTCTTCTCTTTCTTCCATCAGAATTCACAGAGGTTTAGTTCTTTCATTTTTAACTAATTATTTTGGGGAGTCAAAACAACTGAAATAATTGAAGCATATTCTTGCAGGAAGATCTGTATTCCAAGGTGTGTAGCCTCTCATATGTGGGTGACCTACGTATGCTATTTGCGGAGGATAAAAATAAGGTAGACCTTGACTGCATCATTTTGTTGAGATTTTGAAACTATTGATGTCTTCCATATATAGAGGCTCAATGCTTACCTAATACCATACCATCAATTGGGCGATCTACTGAAATTATATGTCAATTTGGTTGCAGATTTTGGATTACTTTGTACGTAATAATGGTATAATGAGTTGATCATGAGTTATGCCTCCATGAGTGTCGAATTTGACTTTGACTTGCTGCACCAACCTGCTTGAACAAGATTGTTTTTATTATGTTTTTAAGTACTCCTCCTCTTCCGCTTCACTGTTTGTCATATTCAACTTTAGGAAAACTGACTTGATCATTGAGCAGGAGAAAAGGAAAGGCTTAATGTTGTCAATTGTATATACTATATTGTAAAATCATTCTATATTTTACCACTCTGGTGAGATACATGGTTAATTTTGTCTGAAATATCTGCCTTATATGAAAGTTATTCTTTCATTTATAGTAATTTAGAAAAATACACAGGAATAGTCCCCTCATCTTACTGTGGTGGTTGCATGTGATTTAGAGTTGACACTTCAACCTAACTTCTTCATGGCCTTTTTATTAGGCAGTGTGAAATTAATTGCAGTTGTCATGTTAATGATATGATCCACCCAATGCTTATCCATGTCACTGACTGGATTTAAGTTAATATGGTTATCGTTGTCTCCTCTACTGAGATTAATGAAATATTTCCTGCATATATCCTTTCTTGCTTTTTCCTTCAGGGGACTGGGGGCAAACATGTAAATTGCATGTAATTGGTGCAACTTCTTTCCTCAAGGAAGGCAGATGCATCGTATTTGCCTAATGCTTACACCAAGATTCCTCTATTTGCTATCTGATCCAGGTGAAGAAGATTGTAACAGGCCAGTTTGATCTATTCCACTCAATGTATAAACCGTTTCTTCAAGAGTATGAGGCTAAGAAGTTATTGAGACTTTCATCCAGTGCTAATCGCAGAGTACAAGTCTTTCAGGTATTTATATTTAATTTTTCTTCGATGTAGGATTGAAGTTTAATCAACTAAGCTGAGTTTTGGATTTATTATTTTCTCCAACAATGGTTTTTTTTTTTAAATAAATAGAAGTAAATATTTTGTTGCAGATGAAATAACAATGTAATCACTGGTTGATAAGATTAAGATATCATCAAATGAAACTGAACAAAAAGACCTCCCAATAAACAAAAGGAGCAAAAATCCATAATAGTTCATAACTTTACTAAACCTAATCACTCTCTACATTATATTAGTGATTCTCTTTAGATGCCTATATGCAGAATATTGAAGGGAAGCCATTGATTCTATTACATTACTTTATCTGGCTCCAACTGTAGAAAGGATAGACTGTAGAATCCCATAAACTGCATACGTCCACGTTATGTTATTCTCTATTTTAATCAAGCCCGTGGTTATTTAAGGTTTCTTCATGGTCTGCCACTATTGTGAACTGGTCCTTGAAGATTACTATCATCCTCAGCTGTGAAGGCGAGATTGTTCATTTTGTTTTTTATCAAGCACCTGAAGAAATTTAAGTTCCCTCTTTGAGCTCGATGATGAAGCCCAAACTGTTTATAGTATGTCTACAGAATCCTAAATTTTAGTTCCATTTTTTTTAAAATAGAACCTTGAAAACCGAGTACCATTTTCATCCCATTCTAGGGGCCAAATACCACAGGTACAAAGACGTATCAATCTAACCATTGTCTAACACTCAGAATTAGAACATTGTAACTCCAATGGATAGAAGTTTCATAGATTTCGATGTTTGATTTTTGTAGTTTGAGGAGAGTTTAATACGTATTGTTGTTTTTGGTATCAATATGTTCAATCTATTGGCATGATTTAACTTCCTTGAAACATAAATAAATTATACGGAGTTATCACCTGTAATGCGTATTACCTATGCATGTGAACTTGTGTTTCCTTCTACTTATGTCGAAATTGTTATTTAATGCTACTTGGGGGCTGTTTGGATATCAATCCCCCCCTCCCCCCAAACACCCCCTTGATTTGTCATGAAGAAGCAATCCCCCCCCCCCCCCCCAAAAAAAATGTTTCCATTTATAAAGGAACAAGAGTAAGATAGAAGCAATATTTTCAGATATTTACCGCTTCTCATCCCCTTCTATGTATTCTGATGCATCATAGGTCACATCTTTAGAGTTGGATAATCCAAGTGAACTAATTTCTCCTTGTAAAACAGGATTGTGACTTATCAGCGGCTAGCTCTCTTGTCTCTTCTCTTCCTCCTGCAATCAGAAACCAGATGGGTATGATGTTAGGAGAGAAGACAAAAGTCATTGAAACTGGTATGCCTGCTTCATGAGAAAGAATTGTTTCATAAGGATTGTTTCAGCTTTAAATATTTCCCCACTTGGACTCCCAGGCCGTTGGTGGTTGATGATAGTGAAATAGTAGATCTAATTAGAGGTGTATATCATATTGTGGATAAAGATAATTAAACACTTAATGATTTCAGGAAAAATCACAAGAGACGTTGTTCTCAGCTCCAGAGAAGAGGCTGCAAAATGCTTGCAGGGAATTCTGAGGAGAAAAGTTATGATTTCAAGTGCAAGACAAGCCGTGTCTGGCCTTCTGACTTCCGGTGGGGTTAACGCTAGCCGGTATCTTGCCAAAAAAATGAGCAAAGCCTGGAAGTCCTGGAGGTGATGATTCTAGTCAGTTAGAAATCTTAAAATGAGAGTTTCCTGCTTAATCATTGACCAAGAGAAGTTTGCAGAAAGACTGGTATTGCTTTCATTTTCCACCATTTTGCTTCTCTGTTGCGGAGCTATAGCCTTCTGGACAGAACTTTGGGTAAAATTCTGTATCTGAGGTTCTTTAATAAAAGATGTTACTTGAACATCTTTTAATGACTTAGCTCCACATTATGGATTTCCTGAAAATGTTACTTCATATGTCATAATTCTATTGAGAAACTTGATAGTAAACACTTGGCCTGAAGATAGTAAACACTTGATATGTGGAGAAGCAGGTTTGGATTAGCATGAATATGGTCGTTTATTTCTTCATCTGATTTCCATATTTTCTTGTAATCTGGAGTTTTGGATGCAAACAAGTCCTAAAGAGGTTTTTTTCCTTCTATTGAAATGCTGGGTAACTTAATACTGGAAATGTTTATAAACGTAGTTTGTCTCCATATTACTACATCCTTAATATAAAAACTAATTTAACATTTAATTAGATTTAAATATAAGACCCATAATTCATTTTTTCTGTTATATTTATTCTTCTTTTTTTTTTCTCCAAAATCGCTCGTCGTAATTGCGTATCTTAAAGATTTTATTAAATAATAATTATAGCTAATACATATAATTAGTAATGGTATTTTGGAGAAGATAATATCTATTTATTATAAATAACTAATTTAACTAATTTTCTTATTCTATTTAAATTAGTTAACTAACTTTTATATTGAGAATTGAAAATAGTGTAAATAATGAATTATTAGCTTCTCAGTATTTTTTTTTCCAAGAAAAATTTCAAAAAAAAACAACACATCTTAAATTTTAAAATATCAAATTACGAAATACTAAAGAATATGAATTTAGTTTTTAAGTATAATTAATTATTATTATTAAAATGTAGTAAATAAGATTAATTTTAAATTTTAAATTTAAGGAGATTTTTTTGGAATTTTTCTGTTTTGTTTTCTCTCACTATGATGAAAATTAATGCTATGGGACGCAATCAATGAGATTCAACCTGACATGACATCTTGAGTTGATTTATACCAACCCCACTAATGCTAGCATTTTAGGTACAAGGAAATAATACTACGAGGTCGAAATTATGACTTATATAAAATTAAATGAGATTAAATATGTATTTGAAAAAAATTAATTAATTTAAGGAACATGTAAACATATCTCCAGGGACAGATGTTTAGATTTTTTTTTTTACAGCAACAATCTTCACCCTGCATTGTAATTAACGGATGACAGCTATCACACTGATGTTTTAAATTTATCACTTTTTAATTTAATAATATTCGTGTCAAAATATTGATCATATGAGGAAGATTATTGAGCTATTACTTTATATTACCTCTATTCTTAAATAAAAGAATGATTTAATTAATTTAAATAAATTATGAAATTAAGTTAAGCTAGTTATTTGTAATAAATAGGTATTATCTTTCTTAAGATATCTTTGCGAATTAAGTATATTGGTTAAAACTACTATTATTATAAGGACTATCACGAAAACATAAATAAATATAAAAATAAAATAAATTAAAATCTTATATTTACACTTAGTATTAAAATAAAAATCAAACAATATATAATAAAACATAATCAATTATTTTTGAAATTAACATATATGCAGGGACCGCACATGAACTACAGGAAAATTGACTGCAAGTCAACGCACCCACCCTCCAAAAAAGTTGCTTTGAAATATAAGTTTGGGTCCGCCAATGGATCTATCTTATATCAATCAATATAAAAACATAATGTTCCAACATGGAATTTGCAATAGCCACTTTCCCTATCTTTAAAGATAATAAATACAATAAAAACAAAAATTTCTTTATACATGCACACAAAATAAACTCTAACACAACTTGTCAATTCTATATAAGAACTTGTTAATTATACTCTTTTCATATTCAATCTTTTTAATTTATTATAGTATGAAGTGCACTTATTAAAAATACATTCCTATAGAAAATTGATAAGAAAGCACAGTTAAATTGACAAGTAATGTTACAATTAGGCCACTTCATATTATAACAAGCATATGTTTTATAAGCTAAATTTATTACATAATATAGTTTGTCTCGATAGTACTATTTTCTGTAGTTAATATAAAAATTAGTTTAACATTTAATTTAGTTTTAAATATAATATTCTAATTCATTTTATCTTTCATATTTATCTTTTTTTCCTAAAACAGTCTTTGTAGTAATTATATATATTAAATGTTTTATCAAATAATATTTCTAACTAATATACATATTAACAAGGGTATTTTAAGAAAGATAATATCTATTTATTACAAATAACTAATTTAACTAATTCTTTTAGTCTATTCAAATTAGTCAACTAACTTTTATATTAATATTAAAGATAAAAAAAAGTATAAATCATGAATCATTGGCTTGCTAGCTTTTTTTAAAAAAAAAAAAGAAAATACCTCCTAAATTTTAAAATATCAAATTACAGATTACTATAAAATACAAATTTGTTTTTCAAATATAATTGATTACTATTAAAACATAGTAAATAAGATTTCTTTAAAATCTTAAATTTAAGAGGATTTTTTTGGGATTCTTCTGTTTTGTTTTTCTCTCATCATGATGAAAATTAATGCTATGGAGACACAATCAATGAGATTCAACCCGTGAACCCGATATGACATCCTAAATTGGTTTATACCCCCACCCCACTAATGCTTAGGTGCAAAGAAATAATATTAGGAGGTCGAAATTAAGACTTGTATAAAATTAAATGAGATTAACTACGTATTTGAGAAAAAAATTAATTAATTTAAAGAACATATAAACTTATCTCTAGAGACATATAAGCATAGATGTTTAGATTCTCTTTACAGCAACAACGTTCCCCCTGCATTGTAATCAACGGATGACTGATATACCACTCTGCGATGTGTTGAATTTATCACTCATGTTTCTTGAAATTATAAAATCAACAATAATTTTTTATGTTACAAAAATATTTTTAATGTAATAATATTCTTGTGTCAAAATACTGATCACATGAGGGAGATTATTGAGCTATTACTTTACACTAGTGGAACATAATCAATGATTTTGAAATTTACATATATGCAGTACTACGCATGAACTAAAAGACAATCGAGCAAGTCAACCCATCCAGCCTCCAAAGAAGTTGCTTTGAAATATAAGTTTGGGTCCACCAATGGATCTATCTTATCAGTCAATTCAAAACCATAATATTCCCATATGGAATATGCAATCACCCCTTTTCCTATCTTTAAAGATACTACGTTCCGGTTCTAATTATAAGAACTCGTTTATATACAATCACTCATTCTTCTATCTTCAAAGATACTATCTCTGATCCTAATTATAAGACCTCGTTTATCAACTATAAACGAGCTTTTATAATTAGGACTTGAAATAATAATAAATACAATAAAAATAAAAAAAATTTATGCTTTCACACAAAATAAAGTCGAACACAACTTATCAATTCTATATAAGAACTTATTAATCATACTCTTTCCACATTCCATCTTTTTTATTTATTATAGTATAAAGTGCACTTATTAAAAATACGATTCCATAGAGAATTGATAAGAAAGTACAGTTAAATTGACCGGTTTTATTAGAATTTTTACAGGCCACTTTATATTGTTACAAGCATATCTTTTGGAAGCTAAATTTATTACACAATAAATTTTTGCACTTTATAAAATATACTTTGAATAATGTAAATATAAAAGACCTATTATTTTCATACTAGACTACATATATATAGACTCTTATTAAAAAAAATCGATTACTCGTCACTAATTATGATTATGAGTAATAAAGAATCACGTTTTTTTTTTATACAAAAATTTTTGAAAAGGGGTTGGGCTCACCCACGATCTAAGGGCAGGGCGAAATCTCCCTTCCTCCTACGTCATACCAATGTTAGGCAGGGCGAGCCGTCAATTACCCTCAGGCGGCACTCAAGAGCTAGGATGCCTCCCCAAACGTCGCGACTGGAATCACAACAAAGTGGTACTCTCCAGGGATCGAACACATGTTAACTTGGTCATATGTCTCACCCCTTCGCCAGCTGAACCCACGGACGATGGGTATAAAGAATCACGTTATGTTCTTATTATAGATATAAATATTTATTTTATTTACCGATGGTTTTGTATTGAACATTAACACAGCCCTCGCTGCCAACATCAAAAACAGGTCCTCCTCATCTATTTTATATATTGTTGTTGTTGTTGTTATGGACCGACCCGCCCCGCCATAGTTTTAACTTACAGGCCATTCACACATGTTCTCAGAGATATCACAAGAACCGCTTCCATATGAATATCAATGGTATGATAATGGCTTCCGATTCCATGGAGGAACCTCCTTCTTCGCAGAGAAGCTACTGGAGAAGATGGAGCAAGCAAGATTTCCTACCGGAGCAATCCTTCCAGAGCTGGGCCGACTACAAAACCGCGCTTTCTCAGACGTGGCTCAGGTTCAAGGATCGTCTGGTGAGCAGATCCGACGACGCCACCGAGACCGGTGAGATCAGAAAGCAAAGTGAGAACGACATGAAACGCTGCCTCAACTGGTGGGACCTCATCTGGTTCGGCTTCGGCGCTGTGATCGGCGCCGGAATCTTCGTCCTCACCGGTCAAGAAGCTCACGACGACGCCGGCCCCGCCATTGTGTTGTCCTACGTTGCCTCCGGCGTCTCAGCCATGCTCTCCGTCTTCTGCTACACTGAGTTTGCCGTAGAAATCCCTGCTGCAGGTGACACTTTTCCTGTTATTATGGGATTTTATCGCGCCGTAGAGTCTCTAGTTCCCACATGACTCGTTAGAAATTAGATTTGATTTAATATTTCCATAGTTTTAAAAATCATTTATAAATATATTTTATATAAGTCGGGATAGAAATCTTATTACATGTCTATTTTGTATCTCGTAAATTATAATTAAAAAGTTATTTATAAGTTATCTTGTAGCTAGAGCTAGTAATACGGGTAGGTGGTGCGGATACAGGTCAGCTTGCAGCAGTGCGGGCCGAAAGCGGCAAGCCCACCTAAATATTTTTTTTAAAAAAATTATTATTATTATTTGTATAGGTTGAGCTTAGTTTGAAATATTAAAATTGGACTTGGAGTTTAAAACTTGAGTAGTGGATTATAATAAAATAATGTGAAAATTAATTTATAATCTGAAAGATATTTTAAAAAAAACTAACACATATTTTTTCTAA